TAAAGCATCATCTTAGTTTCTTTGTCGCTTCCTCTTCTATGCGTGAGCCTATAATATCAACTCATTTGGACAGCTATGATGTAAGAACCCGCACCGTTAATTAAGGAAGTTAATTAATTAATTATGTGAAATTAGAAAATAATTTCATAATTGACCCTAATAATGATTATGAGGCTCTAATAATTATAGTAAGTGATTAAGAATGCTGAAAGTCGTTTTACGGAAGAAAAATGCAGATACCAGTTCTGCTAGTCGGTATAAATGCGTACCGAAAAAGTATTCCGGAAAATTATAATAAGTTCATGATAATTACTAGAATAATATCTAGGACTTGTAAAACGAGTTTCAAGTTAAAATAATGAGAACTGGTGCCAGAAACTGATATTGGCTATGAAAAGCGCGTACCGGAAAGGTGCTCCAAAAATTATAAGAAAAATATGATAATTCTTGTAAAATTGAGTAGGTTAAGAATCCTGAGTTTGGGATTAAAATGCTAAGTGTAGCAATTAAAGTTAATATTGTGTTATGTGGTTAAGTGGCTATATATATGACTTATGCAAAAAACCCTAGGTTGATTCATCAGTTTTTGTGCGTGAGTGGCTGCTGAGTGTGGGTCTCCTTGCTGACTTGGTGTCTCCTTCTCTTGCCTTCACCATTTCTTGAGCTTTGAGGCCATTTCCTTCACAAACTCTTCTCTTAAACACTTGGTGTGAGAGACAGTCATCTTGGGAAGTGAGTAGTGGCTTGTGTTCCGAGTTATGTTGTTGTTTGAGGGAGAGTTTTGGGGCTGAGTTCCTTGTTTGGGTGGTTAGAGCCTTGTTCTTGGCTTGTGAAGCTCCAAGTAGCTTCCTTGTGAAGAAAGAACTCTTCTTGTTGGTCCATTTTCGTTTGGTGTTCAAGTCAGAACCTTGGGAGTTGGTTGTGAGCTCCAAGAGCAGCCCTTTGCCTCTGTTTTGAACCTTTGGTGAGTTGTACAACCTTGATCTTGGGTTTTTATGGGTTAAAGGTGATATCTTTGCATGTAAATGGGTTAAGCAAGTAACCAACTGGTATGTAAACCTAAGAGGGTATAAAAATGCATGTTTTAACGTGTTTAAGTGTTAAAAATGGAACCTTGGAATGATATCTTCGCGAAATGCAGAAACTGCATTCTGTCGCGAAATATCCGATATCTGCTCGTAAAATATCCGGATATTGGATATCCGAATATTGGGATCTGGATATCCGGATATTGGATATCCGGATATGCCCCCGAGGAATATTCGGATATTCTGGGTTTGCGAGGAACAATAGTGTACTGTTCATCCAGAACTGATCTATGGGTTTGTGGACCCTAGTTTGAGGAAGTTGAACTTCTGTAATTAATTAATGTAAGTCAGAATCAAAGGATTAAGGGCTTATGGCTTTGTGTGAAGCCTTAAGGCGTAAAACGTAGAGGAAATGCGTTGTCTTATGTTGTATGCTTGTAGAGTATGCTTATTAATATACTATTGGTCCATAACAGATTATGAATCTGCTGTGTTTGGACTTTGAGCTGTGGACTCTTGGCTTTGGGTGTTAGCTTGCAAGGTAAGCTTTTGTGTCCTCGGTTTAGCCATGTTGTGGTTCCACCATGTCCCATGGGGGTATGGTTATATGTATGCTGTGTTACATGCTTTGAATATTTGAAATGATATTGAGCTTTATGTGTAATGGCTTTTAATATGCATATGTTGTTCCATCTTGACGGTAAGCCTGAGTATGTGGCATCATACAAGACGGTGATCCGGGGTGGATGCAAGTAGCGTCTTGCACTATTTGTGGGTATTAGACGTATATAAATCCTGCATTTCTCTGGCCAGTAGAATAGAATTGACACACATGACATGATTATCTGCTGCATTGCACTATTTTAGAACTGATGATGATAAACTGCTTTTGAACTTATATTGCACATGTAAGTGAGCTTGGGGTGGAAGATCCTTGAGGAACCCTTGCTTTACTGAGATTTCTTGTTTAGAGATCTCACCCCACGTTTGGGGAATGCTTATTTCAGGTTCAGGTAGTATGGGGACTGATGCCTCTGGCGGCAGGAGGTCAGAGCTTAGTTGATGACATTACTGCTTATTTGTTAGCATGACTGGACTGGATGTTGTTTATGTTTTCCGCATTATTATTACGTTGTTGATGTTGAGACTTATGTTGGGCTTTGTTGCCTTATTTGGGTGAGCACGGGAGTTGTCCGTGCTACTATGTTGTTAGTACTTTTGAGTTGAGTTGTATAAACTGATAGTTGGTCCGATCTACGTGTTGTAGTTCCGTGACTAGAGACATACATTATGTTATTTAATTAATGAGGTATTTCAGTTAGATGTCTTTTGCAATTTACATACAGGCATGATTTTATTTAATTGATTAATTAAGCAAGTTGGTAATGATAATGACGTCATAATTGAAAAGAAAAAGATATTCCGCATTTTTAATTAAGCGCAGCTTAATACGATAGTATGATAACATTACCGGATATATACGGGGTGTTATATATGATCTATTCTTCCACAACTTATAATCACTTTAAAGACTTTCCTTTTTGTGGAAGTGTTATCTGTGACGTAAATAATAAATAATACCCAGTGACTTAGGTATTTGATGTCCAATTGCTTGGATATTTTATTTGCTCATCATTAACCTGCAACAACTAATATAATAGCACTTAAATAACAATAAAAATGTGCCTAGATGGGACGTTGGCTAGATGTTGGCCATCTGGAACTTTTATTCTGGGGGTCTGGTCTTCAATGTTATTAGGGGTAAGGACCATCTCAGTCTTCGGGGGATTATTTTGCCCGGTCTTGAGAGTAACAGGGGGTGAGAACTGGCCCCAGTCTTCCAAGGAGTATTTTTGCCCAGTCTTGAGAGTAACTGAGGGTGAGAACTGGACCAGTCTTCGAGGAGTATTTTCGCCCGGTCTTGAGTTATCACTTTTGTATCCCAGGGGTCTGGTCTTCATTGTACATCGGGGGTGGAGACCTTCTCGTCCTTCACAAGGGTTTATAATAGACATCCATCTGAATGTAGCTGGACACTTGGAGCGTAAATGTTGGTCAGTCAGCTTTGAATATGCTGGCCATCTTGTCCGCTTGAACGCTTGTTGGTTGGGCAGTGTGAAGGCTAACCATCTTATTAGCTGGTCGGATGAGCGGTATGAAGGCTAGCCATCCAAATTGCTGATCGGATGAGCAGGGTGAAGGCTGGCCATCCTGCTAGTATGAAGATTGATTGCTCGATCACTGTAGAAGTTGTACATCTTAAACATGCTTGAGCCTGGTATGGAGAGCCAAGGGTTTGATTCTGGTCGATGAAGCACCATGTTATCTTCTCGGCTGGTCGGTAATACTCCAATCCACGACTGGATTTAACGTCTTAATTAACAAATGTGGTCGTGTGGTGAGGTTTTATAGAAGATGCATGGGTGTCATGCAACTGCCACACGAAACTTTGGAAAACTGTGCATTGGTGATGGCAACTTGTGTAGCACTTTTTTTAAACAAAGAAAAACTAAAGCGAGTTACACATCCTTGTCCTAGTGATGCCCATCAGACTCTATTCACCCAACACTCCTTAGGAGTCTCCATGTACACTTGCATATCCCAATTGTCCAAGCAGTCTCCCTTCGAAGCTATAGCATTAGCTACAAAATTCCCCTTTCTAAGGGCGTGACTAATTCTTGTTAGCCATTTCCTTCTCAAAATAAAACAATTTGGTTAACAAGTGATGCTAGAGGATAACAGCTATCACAATGACCTTCTATAAGGCTAATAGTAACTTGGGAGTTACTTTCGATCCAAACCTTTCTAAACCCCAGCTCCCAAGTAACTTGAAGACCATCAAGAATGCCACATAACTCAGCTCTCAAGGATGATCCCACACCTAATTTCTTGCAAAAACCACCCAACCAGGTGCCTGCATCAGCCCGAATCATACCCCTATAGCTCGAACACGCACCTCCTATGCTACTAGCCCCATCTGTATTCAATTTGACCCATCCTTGAGGAGGAAATTTCTAGCAAATGAACCGTTCCTCCCTGTCCCTTCTCTACAGCCCATGGACCCCAGCCTCTCCCACGCCAAATTGGAGTTCCACACATACATTTTCGCTTACCTGATGACCGAATCTTGGTTGGAAGATTTATTCTCAAAATTCCACTCATTCCTAGCTTTCCAAATCAACCAGCATAAGACCCCAAAAACAAAAGACCAGTGCCCTTGCAAGTCGAGCCGATTCGTGGATTTGAGATTGTTATCCGACCATTGATGGTAATCAATCCCAAAGAAATCAGCCTGCTGCTCCTCTACTTTAATAAGGTCGCAAATCACTCTACTCCAAACACAATCCCGCAACACATGCAAAATATCCTCCGGGCCCATCCCACATCTGCTGGGAAGTTTATCTGTTGCCAATCCTCTCCTCTCTCTCTATTCACATTCGTCAGTAAATAGTTGCCAACAGCCTTCCAAAGAAACATCTGGATGCGTTTTGGACCTCTCCATCTCCAAGGAATTAGAGCAGCTCCTTGACTCTGATGAATGGGCTCGGCATCTAACAATCTATAAGCTGATTTTACAGAAAATACACCATCACTTGTCTCAGCCCAATTAACAAAATCATTCCCGTTATCCGGTTTTGGTGGAGTTGTGTAGCACTTTGAATCACTTTAAAGTGAACAGGATGCAAATACTATGCCCACGCAACAGCCTGAATAAAATTGCTCAGATTGATTTTCAGAATATTATAAAATTTTACAAAGTGTTGGAAAAATCCTCGTAATTAGTTTTCTAAATTAGGCTTCTCACTTAATTTAGATATTGGTCTCAACTTCAAAAAAGGGTCGTGACGCCTATGTCTATGTTTATACTCAATATTCATGTTAATACACACATATAAATAAGTAATAAGAAAGATATAAAACTACAAAATTGTCTTCGTATTCATAATGCATGATATGAACAGCCAGCTAAACTTGCCAAAGCTTCATTTATTGAAATGCATAGCAGCATTTATAAGAAATAAGACCTTCAAAAACTGTTACATTTCTTACAAGAAAAATATACCAATTCACTATAAGAATACATCTAACTTGGTGCTTTCGCAGCAAGGCATTCTAGAAACAGTGTTCACAAGAAATATGAAAAGGAGAAAATACAAAGAAACATATTTTAACCTTACATTAATACAAGACGATAGATAGCACCCCAAAAAATACATCCGCCAGAATGAGATGATGCAGAGACCAGGAATTGTCCTAAAGATGGAAACTTGGACTTGTCATCAAAGTGAAATAATTGCCAACTAAACGCTTGCCAGAATGAAGATTTTAATATAAGGCCAATAACTGATTTATGTACCCCCTTCATCTTCTTTCAAAGGGGCACTTCTTCTCGCTCTAACGCGGGCAACAAGGATTCTTGCAAATCTGAGTTTACGGGAAACAGATTACACTGTGCATATTGTGCCATCAATTGGTCCACAAGCACCAATGCTACCATGGCTTCTACCATGGGTACAGCTGCAAGCCCAGTCCAAACAAAAATTTCAGAGATTTTCTTTTCTACTGATGAAAATGCAGGCAAACAAAATAAATTGAAATTCTGGCATAGAAAATGACGCCCAGACACACATGATTCTCTTATTTCTTTCTTTGCATTAGATTTGGATGTCCTTATGGAATGTTGTGATGTCAATGTTAACTCAGTTCTAAAGAATTGTCCGAGCAACTTAAATGAAACGCAATCAGAGACAAATTTTTTGAAAGAAAACAAATTGAGGTTAAGTTAAGATAAACATCACTCTAAGAAAAGGCCAAGTTATTAACCTCTTGGGACAACACAAGGATCATGGCGACCACGGGCTATCAGCTCTGTTTCTTTTTTATCTCGAGTCACTGTAAATTGCTTTTTCTGCACAAGTACAATACCATGCTCACTTTATATCAATTACAAAGTGTACTGCAGAGTAAAATTGTCATATAATGAAATATGCAACGAACCATGTGATCAGCCAAAAATGTGGGGGAACATGTACTCGCTAAGTATTCTCTAATGTATATTGATATTTGATGTGACACAAAATATAAAGCAGCAAACTCTATTTTCACTAGTACAAGACGACTAATATTAATCAAAATAAGGAAACAAATTATGAAATATAATAAATATGAAAACCACTCTCGAGATATTCTAAGATATTGTGAGGCAAACGACATTGGGGTGGAAGCATAGGCGGACCCAGGGGAGGGGCTAGGGTTGGCCAACGCCCCTCCCTGATTTTTAGATTTTTTTTTTACTATATATATATATATATATAATTTTGAGCTAAAAAAAAAATTTGGACTAAAAAAATTAAGTAATCGGCTGAAAATTTCAAAAAAACTTAAACAAACACAACTTTAGAAATTGAAATTGTAGTTTTTTTCCAAAGGAATGAGCAAACTTTTAGGGCTCAAGAAAAAATTTCAAAATCAGACACACTTGATTATCAAGAGGGTGACGAAAATCATTGTCAAAGAAGACAACAACAAAACACACAAACATGGGTTCTAATTTTTTGAGCTAAATATTGGGGAAGGAAAAGAGCCCGCATCCATTGTCGAATGGAAGATAATCAAGACCAGACTTCAAAATTGAATGGAAAACCAATTTCTTGATGATTCTTTGATTACATATGTTGAAAAAGAAATTATTTTGAATTTTAGCACAAATTCAATTATAGAAGAGTTTAATAATATGAAAAAACGTAGAGCAAGAGTTAAGTGAATTGACCTTAAATTTTGTAATAAAACTCTTTGAAACTTTTTATATTAAGTTCATATATGATTGTTTGTTTAATATATATAAAAAAATTCGCCCCCCTCTATAAAAATTTCTGAGTCCGCCACTGGGTGGAAGGCATTGGCGCAGCACATGCACAAGAAAGGCAGACTTGACAGATTCCGGTGATCAGTTGGATAAGGGGAGGCCAGAAATAGAAAGAGGAGACAACGAGTAAGATGGAGGTGATGGCGGCTGGAAATGTCAGGTGATGTTCTCTCACACACAAGTAGAAGCTGACAGACGTTGTGAGCTTAAGGATCATGTGGAGGCTCTAATGGTGGCACAATTTCAGGAGCCACTCTGGACATGCTAAACTTTTCGGTGAGGTGAAAGGCGCATTCTTAAGGAAGAAAGATGCATTGGCAAGTGCATGGAAGAGAGAGATGGATTAGCCAAACACTCATTGTAGGAGCATGAATTGGGTAGATAAGGGCTAGAGATGACCGATGAAAGCTGATACGAACCTACTCCAAATGCAGAAGTTGGCCCAAATGAAGATATTAGTACTGTTGGCCCAAGTGATATTGCTGACCAAAATGCCCTCCAACAGAAAGCCTGGGAGAGCAAGTTAGTTATAGGGAAAATGCTTAAGAGGGGGAATGAGTGCTTGAGGGAATCACCTTGGATATTGCTTGGACTTGGAACTTAGGAGAGAGTAGAGCCTCTCTAATTGCTATATACTATCTTTTACTTCTTTCTGCATTTTTCATTACTGTTACTGTAATTTCCATAGAACTACATTGTTCCTGTTATTGTAATTTTCCTTATTGAAACACTATAATTGTTGGTTCATATCAATATACATTTCTTATACCAATTATTTCTTCGACTTGTTTTGTTGTTCCCTATCAAATTGGTTGGTCTGTAACAAATAAATGTTGGGTTCCATTTGCAAGGTATGGAACTTGGAGTCTCATATTGGTTGTATAGGCAACTAATGTGGGGTTTATAAGGCCTTAGGTACTCCCACCCTTTGAGTTAGCTTTTGGGGTGGTGCATCCCAAGATCTCATCAAATGGTATCAGAGCATCCATCACGTGGAGTGTGCGTGGGGGCACGCACTAGGGCAGCGTGGTGGAATGTTGGGTTTCATTTGCAAGGTATGGGACTTGGAGTCCCACATTGGTTGTATGGGCAACTAATATAGGGTTTATAAGGCCTTAGGCACTCCCACCTTTTAAGCTAGCTTTTGGGGTGGTGCATCCCAAGGTCTCATCAAAAGCTCACTGGAGTGGATAAAAAAAAGCAGAGGCTAGAAAAAGGCAGATATGCCCTCACGACTGAGAAAAAGGGTGCAGTTTAGCAGATGAATGCTACGTGGCAGTGTGGCAGCTTTGGCAGCAGCACAACTTTGGCAGTCGGTCTGTCGGTACCGGGTAGTGAGAAGTGAGACACCACAGATCAATATATTTGAGATGGACAGCCGCTGGAAGAGAAAGGAAGCATGCCGGAAAGACAAGGCAGATGGTAGGAACCGATCTAGGGATTCTGGGAAAGATGGTAGCAGCAGCAAGCATAAAAGTTCACAGACAAAGATGAGCCAGAGAGAGAAAGCCAATAGGAAGAAAAATACAATTGCTGAAAATTAAGGTAATGTGAAACAAAATATATCAAACAAAAGAGTTCCAAATTTTAGGGAACTTGGCAACAGAATAGTGACTGGACAAGTCCCGGAAGATGATAATGCTCTCTGATACAATGTTAAAATTATAGGAGTTTAGGTAGAGAAGCAAAAGAGAGAAAAAAGAGACTGAATAATATTCCCTTTATGTATAATACAAAATACAAAGCAATAACCCCATCATTGAATATAACGAAATATGGAAAAACTTGTAATAGATCATCCATCATCTAAGTATTTTAAGATGCAATAATCATATTAGGAGATATCCTGGATTCCAACAATTTCTTTCCTTATTTGATAAAGATTAGGAGTCTAGTATTCATATAAATAGGATTTATTTCCTTGTCTTTTACATCACATCAAAATAGACAAGAGAATAATATTCACTGTTTCTTTTATCTCTCTTTCTATGCTCCTCTACCTAAATCCCTATAACTTCAACACAAATCATAAATTATTATGAAATATGGAAACCACTCCTAAGAGACCATCCAAGATATTATAAAATATTCTTAAGATACAATAATGATATTAATGAAATAATTTTCTAGATATTCTAAAAAAAGTATTATCAGTGTGAAAAATATCAATAAACATATGTGACTGCACCTGTGTCTGTGTTTGCAAGCATGTATGTTGGTATCTGTGTGTGATGGGTGAATGAGATAGAGATGGAGAGCAAAATAGAAAAGAGATTGGACTTACACCAATAGTCGATGTTGGCTTGAAAGCTATTCTCATGTTAATGATTTCCCCATTGGAAATTCCACCCTGATTGTCAATATAGATAATATAAGTAAAGCAAATATAGACACATAACCATCATACTGCACATCTAGAAACAACTAATTAGTGATTATAGAACAGAACAAATACCTGTATCCCACCAGAGCGGTTTGTTCTTGTCCTTGTCCTTCCATGTTGATCTATATAGAACTCGTCATTGTGTTCACTCCCAGTCAAAAAGGTACCTGTAATGATTTCATTAAGCCATCATAACACACCTCTGACGCATGTGATAAAAGAAAATAACATTGTTTAATCGATCCCTGTTTAGTCGGATCAAAATCATAAGGCAAATACACTTAAGAGTCGTATGCTTAAGCAATCTTCAATACCTGCAAACCCACTACCAAATTGAAAGCCCTTAGTTGCAGGCAATGACATAACAGCTTTAGCCAGCTCAGCTTCAAGTTTGTCAAATACTGGTGAACCAAGACCCTGAGAAATAATGATGTCATTTATATTCTAGTGGAAAATTAAATAAAATATCTGAATAATACAACACAAAAATTATTTGGTGTGTAAGGATGAGAAGTGCCTTATAAGATATCAGGCATGCAAGTGGACATATGAAGGGAGATCCGAAGTTGCAAAACAACAATCATGGTGTCAATGCACAGTGCTATTTTCTTCCTTCTTTTTTTTCTCATGCTAATTGTTAAAATATCAAATAACAGGGTCAGAAGACTTCAAAGAGCAGTCTAACATTAATGGGCTACAACTTTAATTTTTCTAGGAGTAAGGATACATGCTATACATGAAAGGGAAGCTCTTAAACTCATATGGATGATTAAGGAGCACAGCTTGTCTGAGTTAAGACCAAATTTCCACTGTTTTCTAGAATTTCCACAAGATTCATCATATGTATTTACTATATTTATTTCCAAGTCAATCATTAAGCAAAAAATAAACAATGTTTAGGGAGAGGGGCTACCTAAGGAATGTATATTTATATTTTAAAAGATTGATAAATTTTTGTTCAAAAATTTTTTGGGGGGCATACACTACCCTTACCCCAGATTACAGGGGGATTTAATTTTATACTGTAAACTTTTTTTTTATTGTTTTCACTGTAGTTTCATGGTTATGTTTCTATTTAAAGCCAACTAGCCAAGTAATGGCTGAGTTTCCCCATAAAATCCTCGTGGTGGTTATCACTTTTATTAGTTTCCTAAACCCTACTTGCTATCTTGCTCAGTTATTTTGGCTTGACTTAGAGAGTTGGACAGACTTACACGTGGACAGTTCCTCACAATGCATGTTACAACACCACCAACAGAATCACCTCTCACTCGGACAGCATCAATAGCAGATATCATCTTCTCAGCATATTCAGGGTCTGGACATCGAACAATGTTACTCTCAATCTGGACAAATTCCAAAATAGAAGTGGCAAACCAGGAATTTGGCTTCAGAATTGCAAGAATAAAAGAATGATAATAACATAAAAAAATAAGCATTATCAATAAAAGTTATAGATAACAATAATAGCCACATTTTCATGAGAATGAAAATTTATCCATTTTATATAAATGGTGTCCTCTTTAATTATAAATACCTCATCATCAGTTTAAAACAAATAGATTTGACATTTTATTCATGCACTAATTATACATATGTACAAATTGTTAGATCAAATTCAAGAGAATAATATACATACATATGCACATTTACTCAAAATTCAACTTTATACCTGAATGCCCAGGGGAGAAGTCCAGATGATAAAATTATTCATCACTCATTTCCTTAGTAATGTTAAAGTCATTTCCTTAGTAATATTATTCATCAGTCATGCCAAAGATGTTGAAGTTTCAGTTTAGGATGGAATGAGATTTCTTTGGTAAAAATCACTTTTATGAGAGTAGTCTTTAGACGAATCTATTTGGCAGAAATCAGTTTTATCTTTAGAAATGCACATTACATGAGAAGATATGTGAACCACAATTTTTTTTTTCAATTTAGTATTGATATTTTGTTGTGAACTTATTAAAGAGGGGAGCAGAGGCGGGGAGAGTTATGTGTTGAGTTTAAATTAAACAAGGACAAAGACAATTTTGTCATATTATTTATTAATGCCAAAAAAATTTCTAACAAAATCAGAAGAGTTGTAAGCATGATTTGCAAAATGTATTCCAAGAAATGGAGTTGAAAATAGTCCTGCTCCTAGTTGCCAATAAGTGGGCTTAACCACAATATTTGTTAGTTAGTACCATCCAAATATCCATAGAAAATTATTAAAAAATAAAACAGATGGTCATCTCCATGTTTAAAATACATGAAATCTACTTCAAACAGTTTTACAAAAGGCACTGATGAGCATATATACATATGAATATTAACTTTAATACCTGATCAAGTGTCAGATTGTAATTATCAATTAGGTCCTCAGGAAGAACAACCTTGTGAACTTGGGAGACATAAGCAAAAATCTGAAAAATAAGAGACCTTTAGCCAAGGATCTTTCTTAAGGAATGTGTTACATGCACATATATCTACATCAACCATGCATTTGTCAATAAAAATTTGCACTTTGTAAAAAAAAGTTGAGAACAGAAAAAAAAAATTATTAGAGACATCAGGTACAATTAAGCTCTGAGCTTCTGACAAGTTCATATCATGCACACTTGACACACATTACGGATAGGATGTGAACCCAGTGATCACTACAACTCATGCTAGTCCTTGGAAGTTTATTTATTAGGGTAATGCTTCTTTTAAATCATTGGTTCCTTTCAGTTTGGGGGGTAGTATCACATTGTGTTCTAGGAGGAATTGTTGGTTTGGAACGTTCCTTTATTTGAGGTTTTTCATTACCTTTATCAATTGTCTTCTGCACATGAATCCACCATTAAGAAAAAAAATTATTCTATTCAGGATCCAAATTTTAATTGGAATGTTCATTTTAGCATAAACTTGAGTAATAGAAAAGCTAGTGAAATAATTCCCTTACACTTTTACTTGAATGAGGGCGAGATTGGAGCAGTAATAAGGTTGCTCCCATGTAACCGAAAGGTCACGAGTTCGAGTCTGAAAAACAGTATCTTTTAAAAAATGCAAGGCAGGGCTGCGTAAAATTGACCCTCACCCTTACCCTCACAACTTAGTGAGCCTTGTACACCAGGGTTTACCCTTTGCCTTTTGAACACTTTGACTTGAATCTACTCATATCATATCTCTAGTTCTCCAGATAGGAGAGATTGGACTTTGGACTCTTCTAGTGTATTATCATTTTAAATCTTTATTTTTGGTTTCTAACTCAAAATCATCAAACTTTCCTCCTGGACATATTCATTTGGCTGTCAAGAGGTCCCTCTAAACTCAAGCCTTACGTTTCAACAGCAGTATTTAATAGGATTAGTAGTTTAGTACACATGGCTTCTGCAGATAATAGGGCCTCGCAATGATGTGTTATGTGCAGATCTAATTTAGAAATGACATGCCATTTATTTTTGCATTGTAAGGTGGATTTCTTATGAGACAATCATTCTGGGCTTCTTGTTGATCACAGGGTGCATCCTTTAACTTTGGAGCAATTATTTTATGATTCATTTGTACAGCCTAAACTTTATGGCAATCTGTGGGTGATGCAGTTCTTCAATGTATTTAGTTAGAGAAGGCCACATCTTTAAGGGTGACTCTTTTCCATTGGATATGGTTGTGTTTATCACATCTCTTCGGTGCTTTGCTCTAGACTATTTTGAGGAACTCACCAACTTGGATATGCAGAGTGGACAACTTTGCTCATGCTTTTTTTTTTAAGTTCCTTGTTTCTTTGTCTTTTCTGTTTTGGAGGATGTCTTATCCTTCCTCCAGTTGTACTTTTCCTCTTTTCTCTTTAATTAAACTTCTTTTTCTATCATGAAAAAGAAAATATGCACTCTGGATATATTTTTAAAAAGTGGGAGATACAAGAATGATAGAAGAGGGACAAACATGCGGCATAAAAGATAACAAGGAGGGGAGAATAAGAATTTAGGAATTTTTTTCTTTTTGTATGTTAGTTCAATACATTTTCTTCTTGTAAACAATAGAATCAAACAACAAAAAAAGAAAGATATGAATGTGTTAACAATAAAAATATAAATATGAAGATTAAAAAAAGCTAACACATCCTAATATAATATATCCTTCATGGCCTGTTATAACAACAATAACAAAAAATCAATGAAAGAATACCACAAAAGAATTATAGCATAAACTCATAAGTAGCACACCTCAGTTCCAGAAAAGTTCTTGAGGATTTTCTTAGCAACAGCACCAGAAGCAACCCTTCCAATGGTTTCTCTTGCAGAAGATCTACCACCACCCTTAAACACAAGAGGACAGATGTATAAGCTTAATGCCTATCTCATTGACTGAAAACGCCCAACTCATTACATTATAAAAGTCAGTACCTGAACTGATCTGACACCATACTTCATGTCATAAGTTGCATCTGCATGGGAAGGCCTATAAGCTAATGACATCTCACTGTAGTCCTGAAATTTTTCCCCAAAAAACAATATTTTAAAAGCCCCGTTAAATTAAGATAATGGTTGCCTGTTTTTATTTAATACTTCTGAACATGAATATAAACAAAGCCAAGAATTAGATACTCACGTGCCCTCTTTGATCAGTATTGGGTACAAATACATGGATTGGAGTTCCAGTAGTAAGTCCTGCAATTAATAGATTATACTTCAAACCTTTTTTCAAAAAAGATATAACTTCCCAGTAAATAATAAATGGAAGAAATATTGACCTTCAGAGACTCCTGAAAATATTTTACACGTATCAGTCTCCTTTCTAGGAGTTGTAATTCGGCTCTGACCTGGCCTCCTATACATAAGAACCTTACACCATTATTTTTTAAAGACATGTTGCATCAGAAGCAATTCATAAATGTCATATTCCCTTACTAGCCATTTAGTACAAGTTCCAATCAAAAACTATCTTATAAAGTATTCCTTCCTCTTTAGCCTCAAAAGTGTTTTTTACGGTGCAAGTAGTGAAGACAATGAGATGAATTCAGAGGCAAGTACCTTCTATCAAGATCCTCTTGCATGTCAGCTTCGGAAAGAGGGATGCGAGGAGGACATCCATCAATAACACAACCAACACCTCCTCCATGAGATTCTCCATATGTTGTGACCCGAAAGTGATTTCCATAGGTACTCCCAGCTGCATTTATCTCTGTAATTGGTCAACAGTTTCAGAAAGTCAAAAGTCTGGCCATCTCAATAGTCATACCATCAATTTAGAACTCCTAACGTGTAACTGGCATTAGAACTACCTACTTTAGTTCATTGTATTTAACATAGACTATAATTCATTGTGTTTAACATAGACACAAACCCAACTCATTGGAATTTGAAGTTTTTTTTAAAAAAAAAAAAAATTGAAAAAAGCAATTAACTGTTATTGCCGTAATTGTTCAGTTCCCACTGGGTAAAAGAAGCTGTAGCAAAACATGTTTTTCAGACTACGCCTACATCACCTTGTAAGCTTAAAAGTTAGGAAGCAGTTTTAGGAAAGTTAGCACCTAGCAGCCCTGCCTAAAGGCGCAAAAGGTGGTTTGAGAACGGTGGCATCCATTTTCACATAACATGATATATGCACTTTCAGAAATGCTCACAAGAATTACATTATAATAATGTCACAATGCATTCCTCCCAACAAGTTACAACCGATACCGGAAACCTAGACACCAAACTTTTCAGGTAGCACTCAAACAAAGAAGAATCCAAATTCAATGAACAATTTCCAGTTGTATTTAGCTGAAAAATTCGATTCATGGAAGCAAAGAAATAAAGCGAAAAGATAAACATGGAAAAATAACAAGGAGCAGATTATAGTAGCTAATATATCTCAAATTCCGAATAATTCCATAAAAATGATAATAATAATTGAAACAAACAAATATATAATTATGTAAAAACAAAGGATTTATCGAAAATCAAGCTAGAGAGAGAGAGAGAGCTGACGGAGTTTCTTTGGAAAGCGAGGACGGAGTGAGACTTGGAGGTAGACGGAGGAGAGAGATCGGAGATCAGAATTGAGAGGAGCGAAGCCGGAGAAAGCATCGGTTCTGGAAGCTGTGAGGAATGGTTTGGTGGAAAGAGAAGAAGCCATTTGGAATTAGGAATAGAATGAGATTTAGAAACAATGGAATGAATGAAATATACTAACAAGTTTGGTTATTAAGTTGAGGCTTTGAGAATTCAGAAAGAGAAAAAAGTAAAGTGTGTTTGGTTTGGTTTGGTTGGTGAATGGTGGCAATAAGTGTAATTATAGTATAAGTAGCCACCACCTACCTACCCTTCTCTCTCTCTCTCTCTGCAACTTCCAAAATCATGTTTGGTATGTTACTCGTTTGACCTTAATCCAAGTTTGGTGTTCGGTACTTTGCTCCTCCTAATTGCAACTTTGGGGGTTGGTGAGTACTGTACAGTACTAGAGTTACCTTACAATGAATTTATACTCTATTTTCATTTTTTTAATTTATTTTCACTTAAATAAAAAATTTTAAATATTAAATTAAATATTATACACACATGTATGTGTGTTTGAGAGAGGGTATAAATAGAAAATTAAATATTTATTTATTAATTAATAATTAAATAAAATGTATAAACTTATATGTAATACTTTTTTAATCTATCAATTAGTAAATAGATTTCGAGATATTCTTTAATATGTTATATAACTATAAGAATAAGAACTCATTAATTGAATGTAACATTAATATACTAAAAAAATTAATTAAGATTAGTATATATATAAAAACTTTTGAAAATATTTTCCCCAGATGGCATATTGTTCTGCTTATTTTATTGGAGAAAAATTTATTTATAATTTTTTTTACAAATTACACTAAGTATGATTGGTCATACACTTTTGATTGAAGTATGACCGATCATACTTAGTATAACTTGTAAGAGTTTGTAAATATAACTTTTTCCTATTTTATTATTTGACTTTATCATACCACTTTTTCTTAATTTTGATAGATTAAAATCATAAAAATGTAATTATTCATGGACCCGACGATATCTTAGGGCATGCTTATGTACAACTAAGTGACTAACGTCAATAAAGACTAAAAATGGGAGAGGATCTTTTTATGTGAAAAAGTAGCTATGTGGTTATGTTATTTAATCACAATCACTCGTTTAAAAATTATACATTTTTCTCTCTCTTATCTCATCATCAATAAGTGATTGTGATTAAATAATATGACCATTTTTTCACATAGATCCACTCCCAAAAATAATAGTGTTGCAAGCACGCTAATCAATACATTATATTATTGGATAAGTATTTCTCATATTATTGGATTTGGAAATATCTTAATTAAGATTAGTATATGGCAAATAGTTTTCTCGTGTATTTTAACTATGTATTACTGAAAATATATAGTTAAAAGAAAATCAGCAATAATTATTTAATTATGTATTTTTCAAAAGTATATAGTTAAAAAAATAACTTTAATATTATAACTATTTACTACCGAAAATACATAATTAAAAAGTGATTACAGAAATTTCTACAATATGAGAAAAGAGCGACCCTTAGTATACAGGGGAAGGTTATATTTAAAATTGTTGTTTACAAACTCTTACAAACAACTACACTATGTCTGATCTGTAAAACGCTATTGAGTAGAGTATTATCGGTCAGACATAGTGTAATTTGTAAATGGGTTCGTTTTTTCTGCAGTTACTACAGATAAGTTATCTGCAGTAAGCCCAATACGACGTCGTTTTGGGGTGAAAATCATGATATTTTTGTAATTTTAATTTATTTCAGGGTTATAATAGTCTTTATATTTATAATTTTTTAAGATTTCAATACCAAAACGACGTCGTTTTGGGAATAAATGCAGATAACTTATCTGCATTAACTGCAGAAACATTTTTCCCTTTGTAAATTTATAAAAAAAAGTTTGGGAATAAAGCCCAATACTTACATTTTTCCCTTTTTGTAATTTTAATTTATTTAGGGTTATAATAGTATATGACTTTAATGTTTCTATAGTGAAGGTAGATAAGTTATCTAGATTCGCTCCCAAAATGATGTCGTTTTGGTTGAAAAGTTAAAAAATTATAATGAAAAAGACTATTATAATTCTGAATTATAATTCTGAAACAAATTATAATTACAAAAATACCTTGATTTTCATCTCAAAACGACATCGTTTTGGGCTCAATGTAGATAAATTATCTATATTCACTGTAGAAAAAGCGAACCCCTAGTGTGTGTGTGTGTGTGTGTGTGTGTGTGTGTGTGTGTGTATATGGATTTTGCATATATCATTTAACATGACCACAACAACTTTCCTACACACACAACATTTTGTGGAACCCGCAATTTTTGAAACCAAAAAAAAAAAAAAAAAAACTCTGGCACACAAAACGAATCTCTATAATATACCACAATCATTTTCCTACAACATAACTCTTATAAAATCCTATATATATAAACTTTTGAAAATATTTCCCCCAAATTCAAATGTTATATCATATTGTTCTGCTTATTTCATTACTTGACTTTATCATACCATTTTTTCTTAATTTTTGTAAGTATTAATTAAAATCATAAAAATGTAATTATTCATAGACCAGATAATATCTAGTGCATGCTTATATAGAACTAACGTATATAAAGAGTAAGGTGGTGTTTGGTTGGGGGGTTTTGTTGAAGAAACCCAGGCAACTTTCATGTGGATTTCCACTTGACCATGTTTGGTTCAACAGGTTTTGACCAAAACCATCTATGTAAAATGCCTGACTTTTTGAGAAAGATAGTAATTTGCACTGTTTAGAAACCCGATTTGAGGGTAGTTTTTTGAGAAAACCCGAGTAAAGCACTGTTGACTGTTGCGACTCATTTGGATGGACTGAAGGAGAACAGGCCCATTAGAGTCATAAAGAAGCCCAATTACTTAGTAGACTATTTTCAATAGTCGGCCCACTTTATAGTATTAACAGATGTTGTAATGAAAACCCATAAAATTATAAACATGAATAATGTAAGTGATACGAGTATATAGCCAAAGAAGGGCTGGAATAGAAGATATGAAAAAGTTGGACAATCCTCTCTCTAATTTCTCTCTCTCTATACTCTTATCTCATCAATCCCTCCTTCTCCTTCTTCTGTTACAGATCTGAACCCTTACAAATTGGTGCTTTCATCCACCTCTTCCTTCCTTATGGCGGACAACACCAGAATGCGGGAATTACATCAACGATTGGAAACTCTTGAGCAGCAATTTCGCGCTGCCGAGTTGGTCCGCGAACAACAACACACTTCGCTTCAGGATTCTCATCTCCAATTACACACTTCCCAACAGCAATTACAGGATTCCCAGACCCGCTTTCACCAGGATCTTGCTCGGTTGATTGAACTAAACACCAACAACCGAGGCATTTTGGGATCTACTCCCCAGGGTACCCCACCGCCTGGATCTGACAATTCCAGATCTCGTCACGTCAAGCTTGATTTTCCTCATTTCGCATCTGGTGACCCAACAACTTGGATCATATCCGTTGAAAGGTATTTTGCGTTTTACCAAGTTCCACTACCTGATCGTTTAAACCTTGCTGCTTTTCACTTGGACGAACCTGCTGCAAGTTGGTTTTACGGTTCTGACCAAAATGGGCTCTTAATTGACTGGCAAACTTTTTGTACGGCTTTACACCGCCGCTTTGGACCGTCCGAGTTTGACGACCCTGCGGGTTCACTAGCGAAAATTCAACAAACCGGTTCTGTACTTGACTATCAATCTTCCTTTGAGAAATTGGTGAGTAAAGTCCCTGGTCTTTCTGCTACATTACTGCGTAGCATTTTTATTTCTGGGTTGAAGTCACACATTCGCAGATCTGTTCTCACTCTTAGACCTCAGGATTACCACGAAGCTTTTTCTCTGGCTCGTGTGTATGAAGATCAGGCTAATGAGAACCGCTCTTTTCGATCCTGGTCCACAACTCCCAAAACCCTCCCGTCAACCCTCACTACCACCACAAATACACCCATCCCAGCTGTACCCATACGCCGTTTATCGCCAGAGGAAATGCAATTAAAAAGGGAGAAAAATCTATGCTACAACTGTAATGAGAAATACTCTTTTGGTCACAAGTGCAAAGGGCGTGCTGCCTTACTTTATTTCGAGGGAACGGACGATGACCCAGGTCCAGATGTGTCAGAACCTCCTGACCCACCTGTGGTTCCTCCTCCCTTTGAAGGTACACCGGAAATTAGTTTCAACGCATTGTTTGGCCACCACAATTCGAGGTCATTTCGTCTCACAGGGGCTATTAAAGGAAAGTCCGTACAAATTCTAGTGGATGGGGGTAGTACCCATAATTTCATTACTGCCCGTATGGCCATTTTTCTTGATTTAACCATGCAACACATTCCTCCTTTCCAAGTGCAGGTGGGAAATGGTGATACTCTCCAATGCACGGCCACGTGTGTAGCAGTGCCACTGTTTCTTCAGTCCAATATATTCTCTGTGGACCTATTTGTTTTGGACCTAAAAGGGGCTGACGTTGTGTTGGGTATCCAATGGTTATCAACCTTGGGCCCTATTGTTACAGACTACTCCCACTTAACTATGTCTTAACTATGTCCTTTACCCACAACTCCTCCACCATACTCCTCCATGGTGATCAAGACCCACGTCCTTCCCAAATATCCAATGCCCAGTTACACAAGATGGTCGCCCAAAATTCTGTTTCCTCGTGTTTTATGTGCCTAACCAGTGAACAACCCACCCAGTCCCCACAAACACCTTTACCCACCCAGTTTATTCCAATACAACAAATTTTGTCCCAATTTCAAGATGTGTTCAATTCAATTACCTCCTTACCCCCAGACAGACCTTCCAACCATCACATTAACCTCCTTCCAAACTCTAAACCTGTCCAGGTTCGACCCTATAGGTACCCTCATTTTCAAAAGACTGAAATTGAGAAAATGGTCAACGACATGTTAACCAATGGGATTATTCAACCCAGTCATTCTCCTTTCAGTTCCCCAGTATTGTTGGTTCGCAAAAAAGATGGCACGTGGCGTTTTTGTGTTGATTATCGTGCTTTAAATGCGATCACCATACCGGATAAATTCCCCATTCCTACTGTGGACGAACTCCTAGATGAGTTACACGGAGCCCAGATTTTTTCGAAGCTGGACTTACGATCTGGCTACCATCAGATTAAGATGGCACCCATTGACGTCCACAAGACTACTTTCAGAACTCACAGTGGTCACTTTGAGTTCCTGGTTATGCCCTTCGGGTTGTCAAATGCGCCATCCACTTTCCAGGCGACTATGAACCATGTGTTCAATAGATTCCTCAGACGTTTTGTCGTCATATTTT